ATATAATAATAATAATAATAATAATAATAATAATAGGTAAACTAAACATGTGCATTTTATAATTTTGAGATATTTAGCTTTTTCAGCCATGTTTTTCTCTTTTAAAATGAATAGTTATCTTCAACATCATTAAAACCCATCAAATTTTTCATAATTTGATGGGTTTATTTAACTTCTTTGTGCTAATTTTATCTTCTATTTTGCTGATTTTAATGTTTTATTTTTAGCTATCATTTTGACCTTTTCTGCTATTCAATGTTTTGGTGCTTCATTCTGCTATTTTAAGCTTTTTATGCTTCTTTCAGCTGCTTTGTGGTAATTGCACCTGTTTTCTGCGTTTTCCGCTACTTTTTAGCTAATTTGAGGGKTTTTTTCCGAGCAAATTCACTTTAGTGATTTTTTTTTCAATTTCTTAGTGCTTAATTCAGCAAACGTTCTTTGTGCTAATTTCAGCTACTTATTTTCAACTATTCAGCAAAACRCATTCACACTGCATGTTCACAGGAAATGCATATTCTCTAGTTATAATAAATGTTGATGGTAAAAATATTTCACTTTGGCCTCCGAAATGTTATTTGCAATAAACAGCCCACCTCTCAGAGTTGGCGGGCCGACTGGTGACGGGTTTGAAAAGTGAGACCCTGTCGAAGCAAAGGTAGAGCAGGTAGACCAAACCAACACTGAAAGGAGTGAAGAGGTCAAAGGTTTTACAGACAAAGTGGCCGCCTGGAGGTAAAGAGAGAAAATCTATTTTACTATAAAAAGGAACACAGATTACATAAATGGACAAACGAGTTGTTTGTGAATAAACATGCACATACCTGTCCTAAGTGTAGAGAGAGCTGTGAGGAACTGACAGAGAAGCAGCTGTTTGGAGAGAATCTCCTGCAGGTTCTCCTGGCCCTCCACAGAAAAACCCTACCAAAGACACAGATCAGACCCAACTCATCCAAACAATCAGGTCACGCTGAGACTTTATCACAAACTTCAAAAGTCTCACCCCATCTGCCATGAGGAAGTGCAGCCCTCTTCTGTCTGTATTTTCCATCACAAAGTTACGGAACGCAGTCACGTTTTCAGGCCGAGTGATGTCACCATCTCCATCCACTCCGCCCTCACCTGAGACACACGAGGTCAGTCTTTGAATCATTCATCACCTGGAACCGAACCTGTCTCTCTTCTGTCTTTGCTGCGACATGAAGGTTTTAATGGCGCACCGTAGTAAGGCTCGAACAGCTCGCTCGGAGCAGCGTAGAAATCTTCCAGTTTGAAATCACAGGGACCTTTCAGCGTCATGCCGAAGCCTTTGGCGTGCCAACGTCTCTTCCACAGGATGTACTCTGAAAAGCCTCCAGGTCCGGCGCAGACGTCCCCAAAGTACAGAAGCTCCCCTTCACGGTCTTTGGTCAGGGATTTCTGCAAGGCGGGAAAGGATTTGCCTCATTATCTGTTTATGTGACATATTAAATGTTCAATACAGAAGCTACACCAGGGATGGGCAACTAGTGACCTGTGGGCCACATCCAGTCCACAAGGGACATCCCTATGGTCCGCTGATGAGGCCCCGCCCCCAATTTTTTCCCTTAATTTTTTTATTACTTAAACAGCAGTTAAAACTCTTAGAATCTACAAGTTGCATTGAATGTTTTATAAGTTAAATAACCCTTTTTTTTGCAGAATTTCATAGTAAAACCTGTGTGTCGCCACTACAACATGCTGTACAAAGCTAAGTATGAGACGTTTACTGACGTCGGACCGTTGGAAATTACCGACATAATTTACATTTGTCCGGCGAAAAACTTAAAATCATCAGACATGTTAACCTACATGCTTCTGAAACCTAGCAAATATATTATTTACATTGAAAATCCCTGCGGATTTGTGTGTCCCACTAAAAAAATGTCGGGGCAGACGTCTCCGCCGGACATTTTTTTCAGTAGAACAAAGGAGATTGTCAGTGATTGGTTGGCTGCTGCAATGCGTTCTATCCAGGATTTTGATTGGTTTAGGCACCGGAAGCCCTAAGGATGTCATCAGGCTACAACGAGGTAAGCTAATTCTTCAAATTTTTTATAAATTTGTGGATGTTTTCTTGTGTTTCTGGTGATTTTTGTTGTTTCAGTATTATTTCTTACAAGTATGTGACAACTCCTAATACTTTTCTGATTATTTCTGATCAATTCTGTTGGTTTATTCGATTTTTTTCGAGCAGCCTGAGTAAAACCTGTGGTAGAAAATTAAAAATCATTTATAAATATTTTTACTACTACTCCAGCTGATCACAGCAATACTGTTTCCTCTCTTGTTTTCCAAGCATGCTTACAAAAATGGGACCTCAAGGCCACCAAGTTTGAAACCAAGCCAAACTACAAAAGAAAGAAAAGTATTAGGAATGAGGAAATCAACACAGGAGAAGAAGGTGAGGAAGATGTGGAGTAGTTGCCACTACAGCTTCTACTGCAGCGACTGTCTGAGGAGGACAGGGATGTGCCAGATTGTAGTGGTTCAGATGATGATGCTGATCAYGAGAGCTTTGATGAACAGGACTTTGAGACCAACTGTAGGAAACTAGAGGACTACTGCTGCTGCACTTTCGATTTGAGTGCCTCTTTTGAGGAAAGATTTACAGTAATTTCAATAATTCTGAACTGTAATCTGATATTTATTGCTAATAAAAGTGTTTTCAGTTCACATGTGAATCTTTATTATATCGATAAAACTCCTATACGTTGAAAGCACAGTGAAAATAATGCAAATGTCACTACAACATCTGTATACATCGTCCTATGGGATTCAAAAATGTCCTGCGTGAGACACTCATGTCTGCCAATTTATGCAAACACTGCATAAATTGTTACGATTGTTGCGCACACATTTGAGCATGAAATGTTAAGTTACTGCACTGTATATTGGTTTAATAAGCATATATATACACAAACACTTTTAAAAAGGTAGTTTTATTACATTTGGATCGGTGTGCAGCACTATGTGGCCCTCTGGTAGTGTCAACAAAACATTKTAGCCCCTTCCATCCCTGAACTACATACTCACCCCTTGAGAATCCTTTGGATTGGTGAACATATAGTCAAAGCAGTGGTCGATGTTGGCCATTTTCATTGCTGCTCTAAACAACACAAAGCAAAAAATAAATAAATACAACAGTAACAAACACGTCACAGAATAATTATAACACCATATGTAAATTAAATAGCCTCATAACAGCCAAGTACAACTAAAAGAGTAAAATATTATTATTATCCACACGGGTTTGGAGTTCAGATTTTAAACTCTGACCTGTTGAGGAAGATACCTCCTCTGATCGTTTCATATGGGTTGGAGCGTGTCCGAGCTCGCCTCATCTCCTCACCCTCCAGATCATCAAATACTGTCTAAACGTCAAACAAAAATGAAAGTTGACTTGGTGAGGTTTAATAGTTTGAGGCTTTAACACGAAAACAGGTCTGCAAAAGGAGCTCCTAAAACCATGATCTAAACAAGTATTTATTTGAGATAATAATAAATTACAAACTATTTATAATAATTTTTGCATTGTCATTTCTTGAATTAAGACAAACAGAAGCTTAGGTTCTAACAAGTGTTTTATGTAGTAACTCACTTTGCACCGTAGAAGAGTGTGCAGGAGATCTTCTGTGCAAAACTCAGTTTCATCTTCAATCTTATGTTTTCTCTGAACAAAGTAAAAAMAAACAAACAAATACATTTAAAAACATATTTTGCCATCATATCTCTCCAAACGTGTTCACGCTGATAGAGCACCTGTTCAAGACTCATCCAGTCCCTCAGCTCATCCGCATCTGGGATCTCTGTAGTGCATTCTGGGAACCATTCTACTTTCTCTACTGCACTGGGCTGTGAAGACCAAAAAAGAAAAAAAAAGATCAGATTTTAAACCAAGAATTCTACTTGAAAATAAACCACTTGGTTTTGCCAACCTCAGGTTCATCTTGCCAGTCGACATTGAGTTCTCCCTGAAAACCTTGCAGCGTGAGGCCCAGACCCCTTCTACCACGCTGGGTGGAGGCCTCCACAATCTCCTTTCGCCCCTGACCAAACTTCCCCAGACCCTCGCCTTCTCTGAAGCCCATCTTGGCCTGGAGGTAGAAGATTTGTTTAGAAAATACAGAAAAAACAAACAATGGGCCTCATGCAAGAACCGTTCGTACGCAMAGATTTGTTCTTAAGTTGTGCGTACGAGTGATTTAGGAGAATTTGTGGCATTCACCAATGTTTTCATATTCTATGATTTCTTTCAGATACGAACAAAATTCACGAGTGGTCCAGACCTGTCGTATATTTTACSAGCAGTCAGTCTGCTGTTATCCAGACGGGTTTTCCTCCCTAATAACTTTATATTTCATTAGTTTGAAGATATTTTGAGTTGAAAATAAATCACACTCCATAATTATCTTAATAGGCTATTCTGCTTGAATTAGAGTTATAATTTTAAATGTAATAATTTAGACTAATAATATAAATTGTCCGTCGGGCCGGCTTATCCAGTATTGGGTGCGGGGGCAGCAGCAAAGAGACCCCCTCTCCCCAGCGACACTTTCCAGCTCGTCCTGGGGGACTCCAGGACGTTCCCAGGCCAGAGGGGATACATAATCCCTCCAGCGAGTCCTGGGTTTTCTCCAAAGTGCCAGACTTATTTTGAAAACATTTTAAAATGCTTATTTCAAACCCGCATCTGAGACCACCTGCGACAGCGGAGCGCGTGCGCGTGGGGGGAGGGCATACGGTGTGCAGCACTGTGTCTTCTGAATAAATGAAAATGATTTAACACAGTTGTTTATACTTTTAGCAGCTCTTTTTTTATTCCACAGCTGA